CCTACATTTTATGTGCTAGTCAATATCTCTATCAAGGTTCTCATTTTCCTCACGACTTCACTAACATACACCAGTGCAAGAATTGCCACTCTGCTTCGAGTGCTCGTGCTCTAAGAGACAAGCCCATAAACTTGGAGGCAAGGAACTGTCTCACCACAAGCATACACACCACAATGAAAGAGTATTCTGGCCTCGTGCCAACCATCAGTGAATGAGGCACAGGAATCACAACTGTTACTCAAGGAAGCTAAAGATCTCTCTGTGAGCAGGGCCAGCACTGCAATTCTACTACAAAGCATTCCAGAAAACTTCTAATGGCTTCAGCTCCTGCAGATCATCTTCACTGACAGCACTATGTGAAACTTCAGCTCAAGCATTTCGTGAAGAGGTCTCAAAGTGCTCTTCAATAGTCAAAAACACCACAGTGACAAATTTCAGCCAAAGCCACGAGAAAGAGCAATGGTACAGTCACATGTATTTAAGGAAGAAATTAAGTGTGACTAATTCTGAGGGTACACATTTAGTAGCCCAGAAATTATGGAATAGAACCCACTATGAGGCTACACAAACCTCCATTTGAAGCTTGAGGGACTCAGCAATCAGAATTTTCTGGGCTTTTACAAGCACTCGGCAAAGAAGTCTGTATGAATTCAATAGAAGTGTTTAATGTCTTCAGAACTACAAGGAGAAGGTTTAAAATAGACAAGATTACCCTCAGCTGATCCAGTTTCTCACGGATCTGAATGAAACCCAAGTGTAATTTGCCTCCAAAGTGGTCAGCAAGACGCCGGTCATTGTCATGGAGACCCAGATATGCTGAACAGACTTCACAGACACGCAGCTTCTGCTGCTGGAAACTGGATGCGGGCATGGAATTTCGGTATTCTTCCTAAAGGGAGGCAAAAAAACCCCACAGAAATGTCAGGGAACCTTTACATAGCCACAGCCTTCCAGGGAAACCCCTGCAAAGAATTGCCCTCCCGCTTTCCAGAATCAAAAACCACCCTCAATATAAAGGAGGTGCTGTACAAAATGCTCTGCAAGCACAGCTAACCTGACAGCCTACCCCTGCAAGAGACCAGTGAGCAAATATTCCAGAGGACAAATCCCCCCCTGCCCCAGTCAGCTCTCTTCACTAGATAAAAATGTCTAAAAAGCTTTTCTTTATCTATGACACCACACTGCCAACTGCTTGCTGGCACGTGGCTGAAACTGAGGAAGGTGCTGGCAATGTCACAAACCAGGTAGGAAGCACCCAGCTGTTTGTCACACACCCAGCCCAGCCCAGTGTTCCAGTTCATACCATACCCAAGGCCATACCTCTGCCTCTTTCTTTTTTGCTCGGACTTTCTCCACTTCCATCAAGATCTTTTGAGACTCATCAACATTTCCTTCAGCTCCCAGCTGCTCAGCTTTAGCCAGGAGTTTTCCAATGTCTTCATTCAGTTCATGTACTTTCTCTGCCTGAAGAGAACAGTGTGTTTTCAGTAAGACAAAAAACTTGCTAAAGTTTGTAGGATGACTTTTCCTTTTTCTCTAAAAAATACTGTTTAGTAACTAGTTGTCTTCCATAAAACAGGTTTAAAATAAATCTCCAAAAATCAAAGGAGTCCCAACAAAAAGGGATTGGTTGGCCAAGTACAGGCAATGCAGTCACAGCCATGTAGCAGAGAGAGAACTGGACACAGAGGGGACATCACCAGTTCTGCTGCAAATAGCAGCACATTTCTGGCTTGCAGGACAGAATCCACAAACCCAGCTTCAAAAATGCTCTGTATTGTCCCAATGAAGCAAGTTCCCAAAGAGGAAACTCCATGAGCACTTACTATGTGAAAAGACAACAATCATGGGATGGATTTACTATTCTAAGCTATCACATTAACACTGAATAGTGGGGAGGGACACACTAATATGCTTTATTGCCATACTAAAGTTCACTTCTTCCAGAGCTCATGTTTTACACTACCATGGCCCCCTTTGTCACAAGAACAACCAGAGCAGTGTTCTTCACTGCTCTGAGGATCCTCTCAGGAGGATGGCTGGAATTCACAAAGCCTTTGTGGAGCCTCACTTCCCAGTATCAATGGTGTCAGAGACAACAGAGCACCAGTGTTCTCACACAGACTTCCAAAACAACCACTTAATGAGAGGACTATACCTTTGCCGACACTTCAGCACTGATCTCCTCCTGTGTCTCAGCCAGGCGCTTCTTGGCCAGTTCCGTTCTCCGATCACACTCTGCGATGAAGGATTCCAGGTGATCCATCGCCTGCATGTTCAGACAAAGAACTTAATAAAGATGCTCTTGATGCCAGATCTAGCTTTGACAGACAACAGCTAGCTGGTGCAATCCCTGTATAACGCACAAACACCCTCAAGAACGGATGCCTTGAGAAAAAATATATGATACTTTGCAGAAAAAGTTAAATTTGATCCCTGCCCTTAAGTCTGTCATCTGCCTGAAACCTGCCACAGTTCCTTTCCTCTGACACATAACAGTATGCTCACATGAGGACTGCTTCGCACTGGAACGTCCAACGCATGAGCAACAGGCGCAAAGACAAAAGCACTGGCATAACCTGAAAAAAGGAAGACAGAATTGTTCTTCCGCTTGATCTGTGCCATGACAGAAAGCTAAATCCAGCAAAAGTGAAACCACAGAGCGGGAGGCTTTTAATGTCAAATCTCCTTCTGGGATAGGCCAGCAGGCTACCATGACCTGGTACAGAGCAGCAGGTGTGGGATGCAAGGAATGCCAAGAGAAGCCTTCCAGCTAGCTGGGGTTGCAAGGACTATAATTACTTTTACAATTTCAAGTCAGCAATCAAGCCAGCGTTCAGGAAGGAGCTGCCCATTCTTGTCAGGTAACACATCAAATAACATGGCTAGCTGAAATGCCTACTGAGTTCTATTGTTCAGTCAAATAGCTTTAAAAGGCAGTTTCCACAAAAGTAACAGAAATTAACCTGTACTCACATCCAGCTCAAAAAACAGGTCTCTCTCTTTACTTGCAATCTCATAATCTGCTCGCAGTGCCAAGTCGTGGATCTTTGTACATTCTCCCAGGTCCATTCGCTGTTGAAAAGAAAAAGGAAAATGAGTGTAAGAACCCTCCACTATGGCAACAAGCAACAGATACTTAACTCTTGTCAACTGTACCATATCAAAATACAGCCTCTTCAGGAAGAGCAGCTTCCTCTTAACCTGTCAGTAACAGAACTAGCCAGAAGAACCACGTTTGCTAGAACTCCTTTTCTAGGTGTTTCTGGAACAACATTAAAATACCCCAAGTGTTTTAAGTTCCATCCTACTCCTGCTCTAGGTCACAGCACAGCCTTCAACATCGCTGGGAGGGAGCTGGGGAGGCACAGCATGCAGCAGCAGCAACTCCTTCAACAGGCACCAACTCCAAATGCCTTCTGTTAAAGAGATACAGCACAGCAAACCAGAGCTCTGTACCCTGTCCACAGCTCACCTGGAAAAGCACATCTGTGTCAGGACGAGCCCTAGTAATGTAGTGAAAGATTCCAAATTACAGAACACACACAGAAGGCTTCCTATTGAGAACAAATGGGCTGAGGGGAACAAGGGCTGTGGCCAGTAGAAAAGCACAAACCCACGCTCACAAACAGCAGACTTGTAATTCTACAGCTGCCCCCTTCCCACGTTCAGCTGTGGCCTGGGATTTTAAAACCCACCCAAAGCTAGTTTAACACAAACTCATCTAATGAGAGACTTCTTGAGAGCACTTCCTCTCCCAGAAAGCCCTGGCTTGCACGCTGCCCTTCACTCTCATTGCAGCTGATGCTACTGGAATTTGTTATTTTTCCCCAACTTAGCAGTTAACAGCCAGATGAACTGATGTTAATTGTGCCCTCAAAACATGGAAATTGCATTTAGACATTATAAATATGTAAGAGAATATTTTTTCTACTGTAAGAGTGTGACATTTTGACAGCCAAAATGATAAAAGGCCTGAGTGTGAGCTACAGTACAAATGGCAGGGTACACGTCACCGCATGAAGCCACACCCCAGCCTGCCACCCTCTTCTCTCCTCGTCACCACCAGTCCCAAGGAGCCCAAAGCCACACACACACAACAGGTGTCAACTCGCTGAACTGCAGGAAAAGCTAAATACAGCTAAATCAGGATCAACACAGAATCCCTGAGGAGCATCACACACCAGAGCAGGGGGTGCCGGGGACACTTATGTGAAGCAGCAACAGAAGGGTTTAGAATGAAGCAAAGCAACTAAAGCTTTGAGAGCATCAAAGCTGCACCAGGTAATGCTCTGGGTTTCAGCAGTCACCTGTCTTATTAGCTTTGCTTTTTTAAACAAAGAAAACAATTCTGGATGACTTGTCACTATTTAGTCTTCCTCATTTTGCTCAGATTTACCAGAAACAGGAGGCCACAGCCAGCAGGCTACAAAAAACAGACACTGTCTCCAGGAACAGTCCTGCTGAGCTCTCTAATGATAGAAATCTAATGCCTACAAAAAAAACCCGTTTGGTACTTCCAGAGCTGAATCATGTTAATCTTCAGGCACATCTCTTCAAGGAATGCTAGTGAGCTATTGGTATTTTACCACAAAAATAACTTTCCATGATGTTATTTCTATTCTTATGGTCATTCTACTGAGATCCCTTCCCAATATGGGGAGAAAATAGCGATATTAGATGTGATGGTCACAGATCTTAAGTGTTCTCATCTGAACTCCTCTTGCAAGCTGAGCCACTAGCTCCAGGTCAGAGAAGGGGCTCCAACCCACAGCCAACAGTGCGCTCTGTATTCCTCATCCTGGTTGTTAAAAGGCAATGAATCCCTCAACCTCCTTCTCTAGAGGACAATGTTCAGGTCTCACCAGCATACAAACCTCAAGTCTTCCTCCATGTCCTTGGGAGACGATCTAGGTGCCATGCAGATTTTCACAGGTATTGCTCACTTGAGGTAAGACCACTAGCCCTTCTCTCTCAAAGAATCCTCTCGTCTCAGGGAGGCCTGTCATCAAATACTCACCCTTTCCAGCAGTGATCATGACTTGCTCCAGTCAACACTCGTGGCTGGTTTAATAATACAGGTATTTTACGAGACAGGTAACCAGCAGAACCTGAGTAAAGATTCAGCCCCCCAAACACACAAAGATTTAATACATTTAGATGCCACTGATAATTAATCCTGCTCACATTTGCTGAGCAATTCACGTTCTGAGGTATCACTATCTTCACTAAACTGGTAACTCACCAGAAAGTCTATTGCCATGAGGAAGGCTCTGCAATGCCAATCAGAGCTGCAGAGTTTCACTCAAGTAAAAAAAGGAAAACACAGATCCCCACAAAACAATCCTGCAACCTACAGATTTCAGCTCACTCAGATCTTCCAGTGGGGGAAACAATTAATTCCCTGAGTATAATTTCCAAGCTATGGTCTACCTGGGCAGTTTTCAGACTCATCTGTCCAGTTATTAGTGGAGCTAAAATTCAGGAGGATTACCAGCTGCCATCCTGAATGTGGTGCAGCATTTCCACAGACAGATATATCCTATCGTTAGCTGCACAGCTCCCTCTGTGCAGGCCACTAACGATCTGGTGACAAGTCCCCTGAAAACAGCATACAGGCACATTAAACTAACTTGTGTTCTCCCAGAATCTTCCTTTTTTCCCCCCTCCCCATGGAGACCAACAAGAGAACCATTCTAGCTTATTTAGTGACAAGTTCAGATAAGTTTCTGGGGCCAAAGGCTCTTGTGTCCAGGAACACTGACCCACCTAAACAAAGCAAACACCAGCACGCCTTCGGCAGCTCTCAGGAGTACTCCAGAGCTTTACTTACAGTCTGGATTCCTTCTCTTACTCAGCACCTGAAGGTCAGGGAATGGGACTCCATCACATCTCACTGAGCACAGCTACTCAAGGGATCCAGCCTACTGCTCGTCTCCAATCAGCCTCCCACCAAGGAGGATCTGCACACATGAAGGATGCAGCAGTAACAATGCCTTCAGGGAAAGATGTAACATAACCAGCACCAGAGGGCTTGGAGCATCTGTTGGAAGTTTCCAAAAAGATCCAAGGTCCCTATTTCTGCAATAATACACATGCAGAGATGGAAGTTACCCCATCCAGCTGAGGTTGATTCACCCACACAGCTCTTCCCTTCACAGAGCACCACAAGGTGCCAGGGAACCTGACCAGGATCACGAGGAAAGCCTGAACATTCCAGTGAAGTCTCATTCTGTGCTGGTAGCGCTGACAGCCTGTTCCCGTTCTGGACATCACATGTTCTTTCAACACAGATCTGCAGCACCAAGACTTTTTCTTGCCTCCAAGACCCTGTTGACAGTGGTGTAGAGCTCCACAGCCACTTAAAGGCCACCACAAGGCCATATGAGTGGTCCACGAGATCATTTACACAGAAGCAGTCATCCTTCCTGCTCCTGTGTGAGATTTTTGAGCACAAAAACCACAGCAAGAGGGAAAAGACAACTCACTGCAGACAAACAACAACAGAAGCAATAGAAACAGATTTCTCAGTGTGCCTCTCGGCCCCAGTAGGCTCAGAACCCAGACAAACACCTCGGACTCCCTCCGTGCTTTGTCCTAGCTCCAACAATCACGCACATCACTTAATTCAATCTCTTCAACTCACTGTTTACTTTCTTCCTGGAAACGTGCCAGAAGAGGCAGAAGGCAGCCTGCATCTTCAAAACACCATTTAGGCCCCAAAAAACTGTTGAAGAATCTCATGTCAAAAAATATACCCTGACCACAGTGACCTGCACAAAGGGCGGAGGTGGGCAGAAGGTGATTCAAGCAGCTTTACAATTCTGAAATGGAAGCAAGGTGACAGGGAGGCTGGTGGAGTGATTGCTGGAAAATACATCTGAGCTTCAAATTAATAAACAATAACCAGATGTAGATAGAGAGATATTGGTATTCAACTCTTCCAATCTTATTCTGCAACAGCAACCGCTGAGAAGCTGAAGTTTGAGTGCTCAGAGCCCAGGCAGCTTTGGCTGAAGCTCTTTCTACTTGTGCTGCCACAGATTCTTGCTCTCGCAGCGCCAAAGGAAGGAGTGCCAGTCCTCCTCTTAGCTGGCAACTCACCGTGTCAAACTCAGCTGCTGGAGTAACAGCAGAAGGGATAGAAATAACAGCGGTGTCTTTAAACAGTCTGGTTGAGTGGATGGACAATGTGAATCGCCACGGTATTTAGTGTCAAACACTGAGGGCAAAGATGGGATTTCAAACAACCATATTATCACAGACTGGTTTGGGTGGGAAGGGA